ATATATATATATATATATATATGTTGTCAATGGAATTCCGGTGTTACCCCATATTTTGTGACCATCATATATTGTGACCAGAGGGGGCGCTGTTGCGTTTCTATAACAGATCTTGGCCAAAAATGGCCACAAAGAAGAATATGATACGCAAAAAGTGTAACCCAGAGGTCACAAAATATGACAACTGTTGTCATATATTGTGACTTCACTGTAGCTTGGTAAATAATAAAAAATATTTATTCATAAACTGATTCTACTCATTGTATACGTCCTCCAATGTCAGAAAAATAACTTCCAATCACTGGCATGTTGAGTATTACTATTACTACTATTATTATTACTACTATACATGATAATAGCCATCATATTATGTGACCCTGTACTAATTTAATAACAGTCACCATGTCAGTGATCAAAAGTTATTTTTCTGACACTAGAGGATGTAAACAATTAGAATAAAGAGATTTTGAATATTTTTTTACTATTTCCTTAGCTACAGTGAAGTCACACTATATGACAGCTGTCATATTCTGTGACCATGCATGTACAACAGTCAACAGTTTTTTTTTTCTTCTTATGTCTTCAGCCTCTGGCTTACACTGTTGGCGTATCATGTTCTTTTTTGTGGCCATGTTCCGCCAAGTTCTGTTGTAGAAACGCAACAGCGCTCCCTCTGGTCACAATATATGACGGTCACAAAATATGGTCTAACACCTGTTTGCTGTCATCACTTAGTTATGATCTATGTTGAATGGGTAGCAAAGGAGCTTTGCAATATGACTGCAAAGATGGGGCACTATTTAAACTGTCTCTGGCTGTCCATTAAACACCAATCGAGGTGAACCGTGTTTTGCAACAAATGAAGCACTGTCACAGAGAGCCACCAGAGGTGTGGAGTGTATCTCAAATAGGTTGTTGTCAAGCGTTATGCTTGAAATGTGTGCTGGACATTTCCTATTCTACGTCCTGTAGCCAGCCTTTATTACAGTCATTTACCCATCATATACCCTTTCATGTACTAACTTTACTACCCCGCTTGGTGGCTCAGAGGTAGGACAGCAGCTGGTTGACTTCAACACCCCATGCTGCCTTGATCCTTTTATAAATCACACTGAGAAGTGCACCACTGCAGTACTGGTTTTTCATCTGCTCTACAACTGAAGACAAAATCTTGTTTACAGCATCATTTGAGGTAACTTGACTCAGATTTCCTCACTGTTTTGTGCTGTTTTTTGCTGGCAAATCTAAAAGGGACTTTAATGGTGCTGCTTAAGTAGCCATTGACTCAGTGGTTAACTATTATCCATAATATTTGACACCTAAATTTCTTCTGGGTAAAACTGAATGGATTCTGATTAGCCTGAGTAGTATCATTCGCCTGATGGTTTTAACATTATGAGAAGCGTGGCCTGTTATTTGCACACTTACTGTTCTGCCACAGCGATTGTTGTGGAGGTTCATGAGGGCCCGAGCGTCTCGTACCGTTCTCTCTTTGGCATCTATGAAGGCTTTGGCAAACTTTATCCCATAGTTAATGTTATCACTGCAGCCACCCCAGTCAAACTCGCCTCTCGTATCGCGAGCTCGTCCCCGTTTGTGCGGGTCGCAGTTACACATCTTCAGCTCCCCCTGGCTGCAGGCGCGAGTTAGAGCGTAGACAACTCCYGCTGAGGAGATGGCATAGACAAAAGCTGCTTCCCGGCTGCCTGAAACAGAGGTAGAACACCAAAACCAAACAAATTAGAAGAAGGTGATATAGAGAACAAGTGTAGAACGTCAACATTTGTTTGCTTCAATGTAGTCCATCACGCCGTGCCTTGCAACAGATTTTCCAAGAGCCAAAGAAAGCTTTGTTGTTTGTGTTGTTCATACAAGGATGCACATAGTGCCATGACAAGACCTTAGTTTGAGCCATGAGCACATGAAGGAGCAGCTGATGGAGTGTATCAGGCCTGATGTGGAGTATAGGCTTGCTCTGTTTAAATATTATCATGGAAATAATCCTAGCTGTGGGGCTCCCCTCGGCTCACATAAATTGTTTAAATACAGACACAGTGATACCCCATTTATCAGCACCAGGGTGATGTCATGAGAACATTATCTACCACTGCTGTGCTCCTCTGTTCTTTGCTGCTGTMTTTTATTCCTCAGCATATGACTCATGCATTTTGTGGCCAAGGACACGTGGAAATTTTGATATAGTGATTGGTCACAGTTGATTTTTTGCACTGGGTTTGTGAGTGAAACAGAGGAGATGAGAGCAGTAATCTCCTACATATAAACATAATAAACCCTAATATGGAGTTAGTCTCTGTGCTCAAAGAACATGCTGGGATTGAAATAAGGAGGGAGTGTCCCCCCTTCTTTTATTTATTCGTTTTTTTTGCTGTTTTTTTTTTTTCAAATGTTGAAAGCAAATGCAAAAGTATTCAGTTTAATTCAGTTTATTTATATAGCGCCATGTCACAACATACGTCGTCTCAGTACATGAAAAAAGGCAATCTAAAGAAGCCAGCAGACTGTGTTGAATCACTTCGTCACAGTCTCCCATCCTGACCATCAGACAGTGGAGAGGAAAAACTCCCTTTTTACAGGAAGAAACCTCCAGAAACCAGGCTCAGGACAGGCGGCATCTGCCTCGATCGGCTGGGTGTGGGGACAGGAAAAGTGAAACAGACAATTAGAAACAAGCTAGTTTATTTTGATTGAGAGACAAACGCCACAGTATTATAAGTATTTGTACGAAACTTGTGTTTAAATTTTTAATTAAAATTAGCCTTTTCAAATTGGAAATCAATCTCAAAACTTCCCTTTCTCTAAAAAATCTTGGAGAAGATAGTTTATTCAATGAAATACCATCTTGAATAAAAAAAATGGGTTTTTGGAAGTCTTTAGTCTGGTTTAAAACATTTACACCGCACTAAAGCAGCTTTCTTAAAGGTTTGTAATAATTTATATTTAATGTCTCTAGCTGCTTTGTGAGCCTCATACTTTTGGATTTAAGCAGTGGTGGGCACTGTTCTCCTAAAGCACTAATAGGGGAACTAACTTCCTGATTAGTGCTTTAGGGCCTTTGCTAATTTTAAAATTTGTTAGTAGATGAGCACTTGCTAAATTTATAGGCTAAATTTAGAAGCACTAACTGAGGTCTATAGATGTTATTGATCAACGTTTATGTTAACATCTGTGAAAGCTGTCACACATTTTGTTCATATGTGTGTCACTTATCCACTAGGTGACAATATACTGACCATGTATGAACCCAAATACGGCTGTGGAATGTCAGTGGTAAGTCTTAATCRGAATCAGAATCAGCTTTATTGGCCAAGTGTGTWGACACACACAAGCAATTTGTTTCCAGCAGATGATGTCTCACCAATACACATACATACAATATAGTCTGTGAATTATATACAATTATATACTGTATACATTTAATGTACAGTAAGCATACACGGGGGAGAGAGACCAGATTCAGAGCAGCAGTGGTGAGAGAGAAAYAAAGAAAGCTATATTTGTGAAGAGAGRCCGTCTGCCGTTTAGCACTGGGGGTCTCCTCCATGTCAATGTGTCTCCCTCTTACAATAGGTGATAATCAGGGCACTAACGATCGACTAATGGTCCACTTTTGCATGTCAACACCAGTTTTGATCATAGTCAAACTTGTTTGTCAACCATGTGAAGGCACCAAGGCACTGATAAAGCTGAAGAACTTTCTTAGAGGAGAGATGATGAAAACTTWAAAAAAAAAAAAACTCTTGTGACACATACTGTATTCAACTTTTTTTTAAATAATCCATGGCCTTACAGTATAATTCTTCAAGGAAAATTCATACATGTCAAGTTGTACAGATTGTCCATAATTTACACAGACTTTCCATCATTTTGCAGGTTTATGGATGTATAGAGAAATCTTACTGATTTTTTCAACTTTAATGGATTTTTTCAAAACCTCAGTTTCAAATTTATTTAAYATGTCAGAGCCTGTAGGACGTTAAAAACAATAAYATCAAATGACCRTCTTTGAACCTGTTCTGCTGCTAGTAATGAGACTAGTAATAKGTTCTGCACTTCCTCAATTCTCCCTTCCTCCTGCGTGCTTTGCAGCAGGCGCTGTCATCTTTGCGGCCGTCAGCCCCGCACCCCCAGTGTTGGAAATAAGCGATTCTAGCACAGTATTTACTTGGTATCGGATCAATACCAAAATTCCCAATATTGCCCACCCCTAGTCTGGATGTTTTTGGGCATGGGGCTCTATGGCGCCTGCCGGAGGGGAGAAATTGAAAGAGGCTAATATTTTCTGCCCATTTCCTGGTTCTTGCAGCATACAGGTCTTGAAGCATGGGCAGGGGAACATCAACAACTCTCTCAGCTGTCCTGATTGTTCGTTGCAGTCTGTTCTTGTCCTGCTGTGTGGCTGCTCTGAACCAGACTGTGATGGATGTGCACAGGACAGATTCTATGACTGCTCTGTAGAACTGTATCAACAGCTCYTGTGGCAGACCCAGCTTCCTTAGWTCCCGCAGGAAGTAAATCCTCTGTTGGTCCTTCTTGAGGATGGAGTTGATGTTGGTCTCCCACTTCAGGTCATGGGATGTGACGGTTCCCAGAAACTTGAAGTTTTCCCACAATGGACACGGGTTCCCAGATATTGTTAGAGGGAGTTGTTCTGGGAGGTGTTTCCTGAAGTCTACTGTCATCTCCACTGTTYTGAATGTGGTTAGCTCCAAGTTGTGTTCCTTACACCAGAGAGCAACATGGTAATACTGTATGTGACTCATGCTGTCTGTTGAAGAATGTTCCRTRGGTTGACTGAGTTATTTTWGTGCTTTAGAATTAGCTTTTGCTAAAACTTTCAGTGCATTAGTGCTTTAGAATTAGGGGACCTACATATTTGAGTTWGTGTTTTAGGGYTAGTGGAACTAATTTTTAGATTAGTGCTGCCCACCACTGGATTTAACTGCAGCTTTTGATACTGTTGACCACAATATTCTTACTTCTTGTCTAAGACAGTGGGTTGGCATTAAGCATTGGATTGGTTCTGTTATACTTGAGTGACAGAAGCTTGTGTGGTAATGTTTAAAAAAGTTCTGTCTACTTTAGTGCCTCTTTCCTGTGGGGTTCCTCAGGGCTTAATTCGCAGGCTTTCTTTGTTTTCATGCAAGGTCTATTCTAAAAAATAAATATTCTATGCTGATGATTGCCAGGTTTACCTGACATAAAAACCTAATAATTATTTCTTTATACAGCCTCTACTAAAATATCTTGAAGTTATCAAGATATGAATAACTTTGAACTTTTTAGGCTTTAATAATTTTTTTTTTAAATACTGCAATTTATTGTGTTCAGCTCAATCTCTCCTCCTGCCAGCCTTGGCACTCTGGAGCCTAATTTTAAACAGTCCTTCACGAGATTTTGTTTCTTTTTTTTCTGCTTTTTTGGTGAATAAAGTCAATCAGTTCAAAAAAAATTGWCATCTAACCTTGGTACATTGTATTTACTTGGATGTCCCATTTATTCTGGGAAGTGAGGAAAAGAGGGCAGTGGGTATAGAGAGAATTTAAATGATAAAGCACCGACAAGGGCATTACTGATCATCTTTCAAAACTGCGCCGTTTCTCTGACAGGAACAATATCACTCCAAATATTTACATCTGCATTACCGCTTATTCCTCTCACCCACCTCACCACTAACCCTGACTGCATATACACACACAGGCGGAACCAGTATCTCCATATCTTTTTCTCCATGCATCGCCAACCCCCACACATGCTTGGGATGGCTGGATAAGACACAATAACAAGCCATAGAAGGTCAGTGATGTCAGAAACTAACTTTGAAGAAACAGGGATTTTTTTTCCATGTAAACTGAATTTGGCTTTCGGGCATAGGACAATTTTTTGATTCGAGGTATATCACCGTTTTACAAGTCCTGATTTTTAAAAACATTGAAAAAGCTACAGCATGGCTAACGAATATATTTTAGAGGAAACTCAAAAAAGAGGAAACAAGTTTCCATGGGATAATGATAAGGCTTTTAGAGATGGGTGACTAAATTTATTGCTCTCAATAACTAAATAAATAGGGTTTTTTTGTCTTCTTTTGGAGCTGTTGGAGTCACAGTATTCCCTACCCTCTACAAAACCAACACAGCCCTAACTGAGCTTTACAGGTTTCAAGAGGTCTCAAGAATAAGATGGCACTGATTTTATTCACTTTAATGTAAATATTTTGTAAGTGTGCTGCAAAAAAATTGCACAATAATATATTTAGAACTGGGAAGTTTGTGTTCCAAAATGACAGATCAGTGTCAGGAAGGAAAAACTAGAAACTGACATGCCTAATAGAAACCACAAGAGTCTGCTTTTCAGGTATTCAGTGCTGACCTTATTACCACACTTCACAAACACGTGACAAGGAGGAATTATGCTTGTGAAAAGTTTGTAAAGAATAACATGTTCGTGTTTATGTATGCTTATGTGTATACTTGACTGTGATGACAAGTCCGTGTCTCGAGGCTCGTGTGTTTGTTGACAAGAAGTCAGACATTAAAACAGCCCAGCAGACTATAAACAAGAAGCACCAAGATTCGTAGAATACAAGAAGAAAAGACAGGACACAGAACAAGATGAGAGAAAAGGACAGACAGTGAGAAGAAGAAATAAAAAGAAAAAAATTGAAGAAGAAATAAGGAGGAAAAAGTTCCAATAAAAGGTAACAAATATGGTGTGCCCAAAAAATTAACCAATGTCATTCCTCAAACAATTGTTAATAAGTGTTGTGTGGCATCAACTTGTCAAAATAATGGATGCCCCTCTCTCAGGTTATAAAGCAAAGAAAAATAATATTTTTCAAAAATTGGAAAAAAAAAGACTTTAGATATATCAGCCTACGAAATCCTTAACACATCCCCCAAAGTTTATTTCTAGATTTGCAGCTACCCATTCTGACTAGGTTTGTCAAACAAACTATTACATGTTGTGTGTCCAAATTAGCAAACATGCTTTATTCTCCAGTCGGGTTTTAATTTTACAGCTTCTGTCTTTGTTTTAAGCAATGCTGGATAGTCTACCTTCTCTATTATTTGTTGGTACTTTACAGGAAGGGTCCACAGAACCTGGCACATAGCTGGACCTTTGAGATTACAGTATTATCTGTAGCATCAGCAATGAAGGCAACACCTGGGACAAAAGTCTAATTTCAGCTGATGAAWCTATTCGGCACCTTGCTGAGAGTTCTTTGTCATCTTTCTGTTGCTGATGAAAACAATGGTTTAATTTATTGGGTTAACCTGTAAAATACTTTTTTATGTCTTTATTCATGTGTGAGTTGTGATACTACATCACTGGGAATGTGTAAGAGTCTGATGAGCCTAAGCAATTTTAAATGTGGTTCCATGGTCCCTGGACTATACAGTCACAAAAAAGCAAAACAAACAAAAAAACTGTTCCCAGACACAGACTTACTTCGAAGCAAGACACGTCCGAAGACCGTGTGGTCACGGTCCAACGTGCTGCAGTTCCATCGATGGTGTCTAAACTGGTGCTGGCACTCTCTGATCCACTCTTTGGTGCCCTCACCGATGGCCTGCATGATGTCCGGGTGGCGCTGGCAGAGTTGCCGCTGTTTGTTCACCAGGCCAGGGATGTTATCGCAGATTACCCGAGCTCCCAGAGCACCGATGTACCTGAAGGTGCCAGAAACAAAGAAAGTCTGATTGTTATTTCGTGCCGTTTAAAAGCGCTCAAATACATGAGGCARCAACGACTGGTGACTAGGTGTGAAGTGTATATGTCTAATCTAGGAGACACAAAGTGGTGAATGGCATGAASTAGAGCTACAGTAAAAGTCCTCCGTGAGTCAGAGTTCACTACACTTAACAGTTTAAGGTTTTGCGAGTAGGAGGGGAGTGGAAACCATTTACTCCACTCTCCAAATAAATAAGCACTTAACCCCTCCTCACAAGACCTGCATGTATGTGTGCTTAAATGTTTCCCAATGGGATAGTAAAAAATCACGTTGTCACAAATCAGAGTACAAAGTCTTTGGGCCTCCAATAACCCTGTCAGACTTGGACTCCATTTATTCACTTTACTCCTCTGTCTTTAGCCTAATTGCTTTCATCTTACTCAAAGGTCCTTCAAATATTTCTCCCGTTCTAATAAAACTGACTTTTGAGTGTCTTGTGAAGATGCTTTGTTGACACTAATTTTGACGTGGCTCTTTGTGCCCGTGCATGAGACGTCTTGCGAGCCTGGTGGCTGCAGGGCTTTTTTGGCGAGTCCCAGAAGGCGAGAAGGGGGGCGATGGGGTAGGAGGCCATGGAGTGTATGCGTTTTATAAGGCCAAGTGAGAGGATGGACACTGGAGACTCAATACTCCCCAGAGCGGGATTAGAGAGGGGAGAAAAGAGCGGTATGTGCATCAAAGGAAAGTGCCGGAGCAGCAATTCACACTTCATTTTCTCACCCCAACTCTCAGAGAGGGAGAAAGGAGGAACTGTGGATTTTATAAGATGGTAAATCATTATCCACAGGTCTAAAATAGCACTCTGTAAAATCCCTGTGAGAATACTGTGAACCGCAGGAACAAGACAAGAGAGAAACAGCTGCTCTTTTTTTTAATCTGCAGCCAAAATATTTTTGGGACAATGCAGTCTCATTTTTAAGTCATCGGAGAAGTACCACCAATAAAAAAAGTTTTTTTTTTCTTTGTAAAATTCATCTACTTGTCATCAAATAAAGAAAATCTGTATTAATAGGTGGGAAACCTTTCTGTTTTTGGTCACACTTTGCTGGTCAAAAAACCCTAAGGTGTTGCTTTCTCCCAACAGAAATGTTGATAAAATCCAATGCACTTGAATTATACATTTGAATGGTTTTTTTTTTCAAGTAGCTGTAGCATCCCACAACTGTTTCTTCACCCATCCCTTTAGCCCCACACCTGCCCTAATGCCTACAAAACTGACAGAAACTTTTAGGAGATCCCATCAAGCCCAGTAAATGTCAGTCACGGCTTCAGCACACACTCCCACCACAACTCTCCATAACTGCTTTTAATCTACACAAACTATTAGACATTCCATCCCCATCACCCTGAAAAAACCCACCCACGCACAGACACCTCTCCTATAAACACACTCACGCGCATGGACATTTTCACTTATGTAACTGCACAGTCCTAAAGCCCTCTCATGCTCAGGATTTTTGATTATTTGGTGAAGTCGTTATTTTCTGTGTGTGTGTGTGTGTGTGTGTGTGTGTGTGTGTGTGTGTGTGTGTGTGTG